GCTGTTTACAGACTGCTGATCCCTGGAAGTATTCCTGTAGCTTATGCTGTTGTCCAGGGGGAATTGCTGAAGGTTTGCTTACAGTAGGATGGGGGACTTTAGAAAATATTTCCATTTAATAATACAGAAAATTATTTGAGCTTTTGCCAAAGTCTCTCACAGTGAAGGAAAAACACGCCTATGTTTCAGATATCGTTAAACCAGATGTGCTGCTCTCGGTATTCTGATCTCTCAATATGCTGGTTTAAATGACAGATTTCAATTATCATTTGGAAATAAACTTTCAGTTTTGTAATTGCTGTCACAAGTCACACAGATGTCCTTGCTGAGTTTGCAAGATGAAAACACAGTGTTTCTGGTCCAACTGTGTTCCCTTCAGTCTGCATAGTAATTGCCAAACTGCCACTTTTGATAAAGATTTGCAGAGTCACAGGCATTTACCCTCAGGGCTTTGTGAGAGGGATCCACTTCCAAGCAAGCCAGCTGCTGGAGATGCTCCGAGATGATGTGGTCTTTCTGCAGGGGAGAGAGAGGGCTTTAGGTAAGCTTCAGCTTTAGGACTCGTGTGGCAGCAGCTCTATTTTTCCACTGAGAAAGCTTAATTCTTGATGCTGTGCCCTTTTTTCATGATTCCCTAATACGTAAGATCTCTTTGCTGACTTACAGGGACTTCTGGGTGGGATCCAAAGCTGGTGCCTGTTGCCAAGCCAGGATCATACTACACCTCCTGAGCTTTCATTCACTGGGAAGGGAAAGATTAGTTCTCTCACTGTCCAAGCAGAAATTACCATGCAAAGGAAATCACTCCAGATGGTACATGCTATATAGGGGTACATACACCAGGAGACTGATTTTCGTATTTTGGAGTTTCTTGGCTGGTGAACTCCGAGCACATTTACTGAATTGAAAAGGATGCTAGATAATTCAGTGCTGAAGTTCAAATGCTGGGGCAGTAAATTGGATTGTGAAAGAATGAAGAGTCTGAGTGATCTCCATTTTCTTGCTTTTCACATCTGCTTAGCTTTATCTACTTAACCCACATGGCTAGGAAGACAATGCTGCAAGTGCTGCCAAAGGTGAGGACATTTCTGTGTTACCTCCTAGCTTTGCAGTGTTACTTACAATGAAATACTCCTGAAATGACATGTAAAGTGTTGTCTGGGCAAAAGTTGGATCTTTGTGCATATAGGAAATGCACTTCACAACTTTAATAAGACACAATAACTGTGACATCAGAAGGTAAAGCACACTAATTCCTTCAGTCAACATCACCAGGCACTGAGCTGCTTCTCAGACTTCCTACTGCTGGCACTAATAAAGGCTGACACAATCACACAGACCAAGGCTGCCTGTCCTGGGGAGGATGGTGGTGCCTGTGTCTTTGGGTGGCCAGACCCATCCCCTGCCACAGCTGGGAGCATCTGCTCATGCCCAGCCGCCTGCTCTGGCTGGGACCACCAAGTGCACCCAACTCATGGCTTGAGGTGAGCTAGGGCTGAAACAGGAGACAAAAAGTGCCTGTGCACTGGTACTGCTGCCTGGACTCCTAAGCAGATGACAATTTTCATGTATTTTTCACAAAACACCCAGGGTGAGCCTTGGCACTGCGGCGCTCTAGCTTTTAAAGTTTCGGTTGTTCAGACTAAAAAGGAATGGGAACTTTGCAATATATGGTGAGTGTATAATTTAGCTACATTTTTTTTTATTTTTTAAATTAAAAGTATTTCTTTCTTAAATATAAAGTATGCCATTTCATAGCGTTTTGGACAACTACTTACACCAGGCTGATGGAGATTCAGTCCCGACTCACTTGCTTTTTTACAAGTGCAGGCAATAAATGTAAGTATCCATTCTTTTCCTTTTCATAAATGCTTTCTTTTAAAAAGGCACTGGTGAGCTGAATACCAATAAATATCAAGTAATATCCAAGAAAGTACTATCGATGATTTCTATGTAAAACAGGGATGTTCCATTACTGTCATGTCAGAGCGAATCATAGAATCACAGAATGGTTTGGGTTGGAAAGGACCTTAAGATCATCTAGTTACAACCCCCCTTCCATGGGCAAGGACACCTCCCACTAGACCAGGTTGCTCAAGGTCCTGTCCAACCTGGCCTTGAACACCGCCAGGGATGCAGGATTCACAACTTCCTTGGGGAGTGTTTTCCAGTGCCTCACCACTCTCACAGTAAAGCATTTCTTCCTCACATGGCCAGCATCTCCCCAGCCCTGAGAAACCCAATGTCGCAGCAAGCATCACTTGGATATAATGCAACCCAACACCAGCATGTGCATCTCTATCCCATTGAGGAAAGGCTCTGGTGCTGGGGGACCAACGCCTAACTCCAGGTGAAAAGACTTCGGCAAAGCCAGGACCAGACAGCCAGGGCATATCCTGCACCTTGCACTGGGCTGCAGCTGCCCATCAGTTTGCACACCAGCACACTAACACAACCCAGGGGACAGAGGCCATGGTGTGGCTGCCCTCGCCAGCGCAGCACTTACCAGCTCTGGCTGGAAGGCTGCCAGTGACCTGTGCAGCCATGCCAGGCTGCGGCTCCTGCCCTCACAGTGGCGCAGGCCCAGTGCTTCCACAGTGCCAGCCTGAGCGATGCAGAGCTCTCCGTGCTGGATCAGCCTCAGCCAGGTGTAGTTGAACTTCTGGTTCTGCAGGGAGAGACCGGGAAGAGCTGTGACCCCACTTGCCTTCCATCAGCAGGGCTGGTTGCATGGTGATGGCAGCTGGCAGAGGCTCCCCAGAAGATGCTCTTCTCACTTTTCTCCTGTCCTCACCCAGGACCAGGGGATGAGGAAAGCTGTGATCCATGGGAAGACCTTTCCTATGGATTTGCAGAGCAAGAAAGCTCAGAACAGCCCCAGCGCAGGCTATGAGAGTGACTCCTTGCACAGCAGCCTTGACTCCAAAGTCACTGCTGTGTGCTTGTCTGCCCTGCCACCTCCCCTGGCTGCACCCCAGCACTGGGGTGCAAACAGACAAACCCCTGGACATGACAAGCCCAACCCTCAAGCCAGCCTGTGCTAGAGCAGAGAGCAATTAGCAGGGACCTGCGTAAAAAACACTACCTATAGAGGAAGGGAAAGACTGTCCACAGCTGCTGCTTCCCATCGAGCAACAGAGGGCAGCTGGATGTTTTGCAGCAGCACAGAAAGCACAGGCTTTTATTTAAATGTTTCTCCCTATTTTCATGTGCAGGCTCATGGCTTTATCAAACTTTCCTATTCCAGCTGAATTTGCTGGTTCCGGGGTTGTGGGCTGGCTACAGACTTTGCAGACAGGGAGTTCCTGCCCCTAGATGTGTAGAGGCATCGTGTGGCCATGTGCCCTATGGGAAGGACTGCTTTAGCTCCTGAGGGAGGGGCAGGTCACCATAGGAAGGTACAGGAGCTCTACGCCATGCACAAAATATAGTATTACATACTCAGTATGCAGGGTATCCTTACCTTGTTGTTAACATCACATGCCTCAAAAGCTAGAGTTGTGTTTTCCACAGTGATGCATCTTGCCATGGCTTTGTTAACAAGCTGGAAAACAGAACAAAATTCAAATTCAGACATAAATTCCCAAGAAAGAGGAGAGGCTGCTATACTGCAGTTAACCTCCTGGATTCAGAGACACTGACTGGTACTGTCCACTTAATTAAGTAAAGCAGAGATGATGTGTTGGAGAGGTATGTAAATGCATATCTGGTCCATTACACGTTTTCTACCAACAAAAACTTGAAACTAGCCCTTACCAGAAACATTTAAGGCTGGATGAAACACGTTCTTTTCTGGGTTGCTTTTTTTTTTGATATAGCTCATGTTCCTGTTCTGCAAATCACCAAACAGCTCCCAGCAGTAACAACTGCAGAATCTCTTCCCACTGCTACCCCGTGAAGGAGGGGAGCAACCAATACATGCAGCTGACACAAATGCCTGGTGGTCCCCTCCCAGCTGGGCACAGACTCCACAGATGGCCCCAGGGAACAACTCCATCACTGTATGTGATGTGCTTGATGCCCTACCTCAAGGCAGCTTCCTGTTTTCCATCCAGGTTGGTTGGCTTGGTACCCACCATCAATGGAGAAATGGAGACACAGTCCCCTAGAGTGGGAACCCTGGCAGGAACATCATCATTAACTGTTTGTAACTGAACTGCTGTTACCTTGCACTGGTGGGTGTAAGAGAGGACAAGTAAGCACTGCACCCTGGGTAGCGCAGTTTCCCTGAGCATGTGTATTCAGCCCCCAGCTTGCTGCAAGTGAGCATCAGGCTCTGCTCCCTTCCCTGGCTTCTCTTTGCTCTTTCTCCCTGCAACCATCCCTCATGGGTGAGCCAGCATCCAGCACCTGCCCAGCGCCAGCATCTGCACAAAGTGAGGTCTGCAAAGGGGCACTTCCTTCACGCTGTTTGTATGGTGTGTTCAGAGGTTGCTCAGGAGTACCGGATGTAATATGGGAAAGCTGAAAACACTGGACTGAGCTCTGCCAGCCCACTCCAGTTCCTGGGCTGAAGTCTACCACACTGCAGGGGCTCACGGCCATAAGAGGATTTGGTTGGCTGCAGTCTGCAGGCACCATCACCAACTCCTCAAATAACTCCCCGGGGCCACTCACATCTCCAATTCCTTGCAAACGTCATTCCTTCTCTTTCAGAATTTCTGAAGAACCTATGAATTAATCCCCATAAATAAATAGGCTATTTGGAAAACAGTTCTCAAGTAACTTTGGACAGTGTTCAGCACAGCTGGAATTTGCAGAGCTAGCTGAAAAACAGATTTTCTGCCCTATTAAATTTTGAGAATGAAGATAAAAGAGCAATTCAGGTGGCCTGAATCAGGACAAAGCAAGGCAGTATCTTGAAAATTTTCAAAAACACCTCTGACAAACTGAGGTTTTGGTTCAGGTTATATATGGTCTAACTGCTTTGCACTGAATTTGACATTGTTTTACTGCTCTGATTAAAAAAAAAAAGCTGAAAAAGTGAATATTTCTCAATAAATTGGGGGGGGGTGGGGTTATGTTCTCAGATTATGACTGCTAATTCTTTTTCAAAAATGTCACTTAAGCCCATGTTTCACTGAATCCTTCAGTCTAATCCAAACAGTGCTTTCTGAAAAATGCAGGGACATGGGCTTTTGGACATACAAGTTTTGGAGCCAGAGAGACAGCCCTTGGCTCTTCTGCTTGCAGCCACTGTCACACTGAGATGGATGGATGCGTCTGAATGGATGCACTGCTCATAATCTGCTGAAGCGCCCCAAACCAGCAGTTTCCTACAGCTTTTCTGTGAGAGCTGAGAGGTCACCAGAGGAAGCACTGCATCCCTCCCCATGCTCTCTGCAGAGCTACCCTCACACACCTTCATGGCTTGATCATTAAAGCAACACACTGCAGCTGGCAGAGAGCCTGACCTGATCCCTAGGGCTCCCTGTGACAGTGAACCTTCACATTAAGCCCTTGGCCCATAAACAAGCCTGAAACACAGCTGAATGGTTGATGTGCTATTTCCTGGCTCCCAGAAGGGCTGGTGCAGTAACTGTGCGCCTTGGCAGGGACGGAGGGGACAGGCCGTTCTTGTTCTCACTGCCCCAGCCATGCCAGACCTGTGGTCACCGGCTTCTGGCCACCTCCTCTCAAGCAAGTGTTGCTCCTGCCATGGCACTGGCAGACTGCAATGGCTAGGACAGGCAGAAAACCCTTTAGTTTTCATTCCTGGAATCACTGAAATTCTTCTGACAGACCAAATATTTTACTTTTGTAATTGCCATTATAAGCAATTTGTAATCAAAGCTGCATCTTTTCTGGGCAGAATATTTGAGGTTTCTGAGTGTCCAAAGCACCAGCTAATATTCAGCTTAGGCTCAAGCCTGGGCCAAATTCAGAACCCATATTTTATTCTTGTCTAAGTGACCTTTTAATGTTGGTAAAGTGACATTGAACACCTGAGGAATAGCTGCAGAAGGAGGACTTGGTGCCAGAGATCACCAGGAGTCTCCCAAAGCAGAGATGGAGAGATAGCGGAAGAGAAATGGAGCCTGATCCACTTATCAGCCAGTAAGAGTCTTGTGGAAGCAGGGCTTAACATTTACGGTGCTTTCTGCCCACTGAGCTCTCCCGAAGCACAGGCTTCTCGCGCGCTGCAAAGATGCCGGGCTTCCTCAGGCTGCAGGCAGCGCAGGGAAAAAGCGGATTTCTGCTGCGCTCTGCTGGCAGCAGAGCACCGGTACAAACCTTGCCTGCTCCAGGCCCCCAGGGCTGCCCGATAAACCACTTCCCTCTCCTGCCGTGGCCAAAATGCTGCGCAGGTAGGGAGGATACTGGCCCCCTGCCCTGGTGCACATCCCTGACCGTGTCTGCCACAGGGGCAGCTCATCTGGGGTTGAAACACTCAAATGGCTCTTTAAAGGGAAATTGTCTCCTGGAACTGTGACTGTGACCTATTTATAAAAACACTAGGGAATCCAGACCACCGTGACATATTGAATATTCAGTAATGTTACCAAATGCCAGGGAAACAACTCAGTGTACTGGCAGTGTGTAGCTAGCCACTGAAAACATGTTTAAATGAAGGGCGGCAAGTTATCTGGCTACATACCAGACCACTGGCTTTAACCAGGGGTGCTTCCAGGTCTGGGTAGACATTCTCCAGGTACCACTGGAAACTTTTGCACTGAAGCTTCTTTCGCAGTTGGATTTGTTGAGTGAGGTCACCGACATCCACGTTTTTCAAGATTAGATGGTAAGCATGGCCATAGAATAACTCCTTGTACTCATCCAGCCAGACCTCTGCAACGCGGGCCAAGTTCCTCTCCACTGTTCTCACACGATCTTTTGGGAAGGAATAAGGATTGTCGTTCCTGAAAATGTGTCCAACTCTGGAGCATGGAACAATCTCAATCTCTCCTCCACACATCCAGACCTGAGAAACAGAGGTTGCTTTGATAGAAACACATGCAAATGCTGGGTGCTGGCTTTGTGCAAGCCAGAAGAGAAGTAGAAAACTAAGTAAACTACCAGGACAAATGGTGTCTCCAGTGTGGGCTGTCCCTCTGGGAGACCCTGGCTGAGCCCCATCATCAGAGCCAGGCTGGCATGGATGCAGGTGTATGACAGTGACATACCTTGAACGAAATCTCCATATTTTCACCTCCCCAGACATCCAGCCCTGGGTCATACATTCCCAGCTCAAAAAAGTACTTCTTATCGATGGAGAACAGGCCACCTGCCATGACCGGGCACCTGGGAACAGACAGGCCACACAGCAGGTCAGCTGGTCAGGGAATGCCCATCCCCTTCCCTTTGCCTTGACAAGGGTATCATTGAGAAGCTGTGGGCTACTAAATGCTGGGGGATGGTACCTGCGGCTGCATTTACAGGGACAGCAAGACACTACCTGATCAGTCACTTTGCTGATCCTGTATTTGAGTGGCTTTACCCAGCCTGAAAACCATAATGGGACATGGAAGGGAAAAATGCAATGATACGTTCCCCCAGCCCCAGTAACACCAGCAAAATGTCAGCAGTGCCACACGAGGTGAGAAAGGCTTGTTGGGCTTTGCCCATGTCTGGTGATGTGACTGCCCACAGCGTACAAAGTGCCTGTCTCTGTTGTCCTTGCAGGCAAAGGAACAACATTTGGCATTGAAGGAGCCTTTGTCACTAAGTTATTAACAAAGGAACAGGTCGGACCACAAAGCTCTCACATTTGCTGTTTTTTTACCTTATTATATCAGTTTCCTTGATTTTATTTTTCTCAATGATCTCTTGCGGAATCTGCTTCCATCCAAAATTCATTGGCCAAGTAAAGATCCCACGCTGAAAGTTGTCCACGGTCATGTAACTAAACAGAGAAAAGATCGGGATGACTAATTCTGAGTCACATTCCTGATTGAAATGTCACCCTTAATGAGTGAAGATGAATATCTGTACATAATTAAAATGAGATTTTAACAAATTTCATCAGGAATCCTCTTCATGTACTAAAAGTCATGAAAAAGGGAAAAGGTGTGTGGGATAAATGAAGGGGCCAAATCCACTGCTGACGTTAAGTTCTGGTGCACAGCAACATGATGTATCCCTTGTGAGATGCTGCTGAAGGCCAGTTAGGAGGTCTGGACCTGGGTCTTCCTGTAATTAGTATGTTGGTGGTCCCAGTAAGAGGTTTCACTCAAGCCACTGGCATGGATTTTGGATATCCCAAGGCCACAAGCCACATTACCTCATGTCCTTGTCGCTGATGACCTCGATGACAGGACAGGCGACCTTGGTCCGGCTCAGGCGGACCCTCTCCAGCAGTGGCTCCAGCCACCCCACATTGCACTCCACATGTGAGTCCAGGAACGTCAGGATGGTGCCTGTGGCAGAGGCCAGGGTAGGATCAGGCCCCAGGTGCTCCTTCCCTGTTCCCATCCTATGCTGGCTGGACACCCTGTGAGCTCACAGTAGTGCTGATGGTGCCATGAGCCATAGCTCCCAAAACCCTCCCAGCCATAGCTCAGAGCATGTTTTTGCTGCTCAGCCATGGAGGCCAGCAGAGTGAAGTGGGATGGCTCCCAGCAGAAATGACCATTTCAATGCCAAGACAGCCTGGTCTGTGCAGGCAACGAAGTCAAGGTGGCACGGCTGGAGATCCCAGCTGTGGCTTGCTAGGGCTGTGCTGAGGTGCTGGACAAGACAAAGCTCTACCACTTGTCAGATCCTTGTGCTTTACATACCAAAGAGATGCCATTATCTCACTGGGATGAGACTAAAGCTCAGAGATGGCTTATCAGCACCTGTGGGGGTTCCAGCCAAGACTGAAATGGCTTTCATCCTACCTTTGGCAATCTCTGCTCCTGCCAGTCTGGCCCGTATTAGACCATGCCTCTCCTTGAGATGGAGAATCTTCACTTTTGGGAACCGCGACATGTATTTGTCCAGCTTCTCCTTGAGGTACTCTGCAGAGAAGGAGGAGAGGGTGAGGATGTCTTACCAATTTCGCACCCACTTCCAAGGTGAAAAGCAGGGGGTAGAATGTCCCTGGAAGCACCTTCAGATACACCAGGATCCTCTGGGCTGGGGTGTGAACATCTGGGCACAGCTGCAGGGCTTCTGGTGTTGGAGACTGAGCCTGTTCTCCAGTGAAACTCCCAGCCACATCAGTGCCAGCAGGTTTCAGCTGGAGTTTAAAAATCTCTTCTGGAGACGTGTGTCCCGGGTACTCTGCAATGGGCATGCTACTTGGTCCTGGGGGCTCACCATGGGCTGTCTGGCTGCTTTGGGTATGCTCTTCCAAAGGATGGGCTGCAGGTGGTGGTATCGTCTCCTGCTCCCTGCACAGCAAGCATCCACTTGGCTTCCGCACAAGCCCAGTAGATGCAGCAAAGGCAGGCATAGCCAGTGTGGGGGAATGCAGTGACTCGCTGCACGCACAGCACATGGACAGTGGAGAGCATGAAGTGCAGTGATTTTGGTGACAGGTCATGAGCAAAATCTCAGTGGCATCACTCGAGTAGCTCATGATTCAAACCAGGTATAGAGCTGTCGCTCAAAAACTCCAAAATGACTTTTTTTTTTCTCCCTTGCACTATAATCACAATTAAAATCTGGTTCTAAATACTTTGCCTATTTTTTTTTAATGCTCTACATATTTCTTGATAGCAAGCACCACATTTAAAGGCTTTGCCTGGGTTTAAACTGCACAAGGATTTTCTGTTACATATCTCCACTTCTCAGGCTGCTTTAGTCATGGCTTTCTGTGGCTGTGGAGGTAGCTGGTGGTGAACTCTCACAAATAAGAGTGTGAGGAAGCTGGGGAGAAAAGTGCTTTGTTCAGAGCCAGCCATCACCCACTTACACCGTTTGGTCTGTGGGAAGGACACCCAATCTCCACCATAGATGGGCTTTATTAGTGCTCTCTAGTTTTTTTTCAGGAGAATGTAACTGTTTGCATTTCAAAAACCAGTTAAAAGCTTTGAAAAGCTCCAAAGGTGAAACATCTGTGGACACGTTTGCTGTAGGTTATTGCTGCTGCTACTCAGATTACAGCAATGCTGAGCACAGAAGAACCAGCAGCTGGAAAATTACATTAGTCCTACATTTTCAAGGGCTTAAGCCAGTAGAGAGTGAAAGCATTACAAAGCAGAGGTTCAATATCATACAAAATGCCTGAGTGCATATGCAAAGCTGCTGTGCTTGTGCAGATGCCTGGCTCACCACTGCTTTTACTGCAACTATACCGTTCTCTGAGCAACCGGGGAAGTGCAGCACTGAAAACATGGGGCACTCATCTGGAAGGTGCATAGAGAAGGATGACAGCATCTTCATGAACGTTCAAGTCCTTGGTCCAGGATGCCCCAAAGATGGCTCTCCTGGACTGCAGTGCGTCTACCAGCCTCCCGCACATGTGCAAAGCAGCACACGTGTGTAAACTTAGTGATGCACAGCTGTATACGTAGCAGCTGTTTAAGTGAGTAGACTAGGATGGAAGAGACGTGAATGATAAAGTCTGGCAGACTGCTTGGCAAGAACTGCAGCTTGATTCACCACAGCCACTCCCAGTGCCCATCTGACCTCTGACCCCCTGATCTGGAAAGAACAGAGCAGGATGGGGATGCACTTCAATACATCGAAAGGAGAAAATGTGATTTCTCTCTATTCAGAATTGAATTACAGAGAACAAATTGCATTTTGGCCTCAAGTTATATTAGTTTCATAAAGGCAGAAGAAGCTTCACCTACTTTTAGTGCTGAAGTCGTCCACCAAAATGACTTCTTCAATCAGGTGAGGAGGAGACCTGCTGAGAATGCTGTGAACTGAGCGGAGGAGGGTGGACCATACTTCATCCACAAAGCACATGATGATGCTGGTGTTTGGGAGGTCATCATGAACATGCTGGTCAGAGCACCTGCAATGGCAACACAGGCTCACAGGTGATGGCCATTCGCACTCCTGAAAGTCTCCAGGCTTACTGTTTTCTGGGAAAAAACGCAGGGAGGGGGGAGATGCCAAATGTGAAATAGAGAGGCAATGCCCTGCAACAGGATTTTGTTGAGAGAGGGAGCAGAGGACTGAGCAGGGGGAGCTCCCCACACAATCCCACAGGGCCCTTCTTGCGAGCAACCCCATGGGGTAAGTTGTGCTCACTCCTTTCTAACAGGGACCTCTTTTAACTCCCTACCTGCAGGTGACAATATCTCCTCTCAATGAGCAAATGTCTGAAAGGCCCCAAAAGTGAGGCTGATCCCAGCTCTGCACCACTGGTCTCGGGGACTCCTGCATGAAAAGGATCCTGGTGTGCTCCGAACACTTGCAGTACTTGGCATCCTGGGCTGCATGGGATAGTCCCGTTGAAAGTAAAGAATTGGTGTTATGTTCAAAATGCAGGGAAACGGCCATTTATTTACATGAAGGGTTACTCAGCACAGCAACTCATCAAACATGCAGACAGTGAGGAAGAGTTTCCCAGTCCAACTGCTGCACATCACTCAGGACATCCTGGAGAAACATAAAACACTCAAGCGTACAAATTTTACATATGATAGTACTAGCAAGTCTGTTCCCTGAGCACCCTGTATCTCATGCCCTGAGCACCTATGCCTTCCTGGGACACCCAGCCTGGCTGTACCAAGCCTGCATGCAGTGCCTGCTCCCCTCACAAACAGCCAGCGATATGCATCGGTGGGTTTGAGGCATGATTAAATTCCTCCTATGCTCATGGGTTTGTCACTTTATTCTGCAACAGCCAAAACCTCAACGGCTGGGTCAGGCCTGTATCTTCTGTGTTTGACCAAAAGGTCAGTGAGCAGCTTTTCTCATCTTCCATTTGAAAGTTCAGCACTGCTGTGCTGTGCGCCTTGGGGAGCAGGGCTTCCCTAGCTCTGCTATCTCTAAGTGGATCTCCAGGCCTGCAGAATGCCTGGCAGAGCACTCCTCTCCCCCAGACTGCTCCTCTCCCCAAGACTGACAGTTTATCCCAGAATATCCATGAATTGCTGGGACTTGGTTTCTCTCTCGTCAATGAGCTGAAGGCTGATAGCAGGTTTTTCTGTCTTCCAGAGCAGACCTCCACAGGCAGGACAGGCACCAGCCAATCTGCAGATGCAGATTTCTCAGTGATGAATCAAAACCACTGTCCATTCTGCTGTCAACAACAGAGAAAATAGACAGGTACATGGGAGCATATGGAAAGCTGATTTCTTCTGTCTCCGTGAACAGTCCCTCGGGTTTGGCTGGTGCTGGCTTGGGTGCTGACGTGCAGCTCAGACCATGTGGTGTTTTGAAGGAAATTCAGAGGCATTTCAGGGCTTCACAGCTAATCAGAAGTGCTCCCATAAGTGAAAATATCCCCAGAATTACTCTCTGTCACAATCCTTGGGACGTGTCTTTCCTTCTCCTTCTGTAGCCTGGTTCACCTCAGACATCAGCCAAGACTGGCTCAGCCAGGAGGGGATGTGCTGTTTGATTACGGTTTGGTTGGAAACATTAAGGGTGTTGGCCCGTGGTGATGGGACCCCTCTGCAGTATGGGGAGGGAGAGTGGTTTGGGCATGCTGGCAGGACTCACAGGGTCAATGGAGAGAAGGCAGGGGCTGAACCAGGAAGGTCACTTGCAAGAAGGAGACAACAAGGGACAGCTAAACTAGGAGAAAGTAGATGAGTTGTAGTTGCTCCTACAGCGAACCCAAGGAGGCAGCTTGTGGTGGGAGGAGGGAACAAGCCCACAGATAAGGTGGCAGCTGCTGAACACAACAGCTTTCATTGCACGGAGAGAGGGATGTGAAAGCAGCTGAGAAAACGCAGCTGAGATACAAGCTACAAAGTCTGCATGAAGTCAGGCAGGACCTGCTATGAGGACATCTCTCCTAGCTCCTTCATTAGCAGCAAACAGGCCTTTGGCCAAAGCCTGCACATACCCTTGGCAGCTGGAAAGCGCCCGGGTGAGGGGAAACCTCAAATGGAGGAACATCTTTTCCTCCCTTCTTGCCTAAAAAAGTAGGATTCTGGGCAGCGAGCACTGGGTTTGTTATTGCTGACCCCAAGCTAAAGAAATTTCACTATGTCCTGTGTGAGTCTGGGCTGTTTCTTTTCTAAGTATAAACTTACATATACATACCTATATATTTTTTAGATATGTATATATAATTAATATATATAACTAAGGGGAAATAGAAGTCAAATCCTTTTGAAATTTCTCTCCTAAACAGGCTTTTAAACAAAAATAGCCCACAGCCTTTATGTTCTGTGGACATCACTCTGAAAGTCAACAAAATGTAGGCTTTGAAGTTGCTTTGGGAAAGCACCACCTTTGATCTGCTGCCTCAGCTTAGAAGTAGCCTGGCCCTGAAGACCTGATCTTCGGGGGTGCCCAGCCCATCCTTTCCCAGCTCAGTCAGGCATAGCTAGGGTCCTTCCCCATGCCTGCCAGCATGGATGCCAACTTATCCAGGCCATGCTCTGGCATGCGGCAGGCAACATTTTTTTTGCCAGGCCAGGAAATCTTGGTCCTTATCTAAACCTGGATGACTCAACTGTCCCAGAGAAGCTATGTCAGTAGCCTGGGGAGGGGTCAGAGGCACATGGGGACCTTCGCTCACAGCACTGCAGTGCTGGGCTGAAATGGGGTCCAGCTCCTCCTTGGTGGGACTCTCCCTGCATGCACTTCTGCAGAGGCTCAGCAAGCACCACCATGGTAAGAAAATTCAGAAAGCAGCAAGCATTGCACACTGGTAGGCACACTGAAGGCTGTGACAGGGCAAGTTCCTGTTGGCCAAATTTCAGTGGTCTAGTTCAGCACTCCAGCAAGGATCACAAGAGGAACTGCAGTTTAAACTGGGACAGACTGGAAGCAAAAGCAGTAACATGCTGTTTCATCCCTGAGAGCTGTCAACAGCCATTGGAGTGAGCTGGCCCTTAAGGCCTGATATCTGCCGTGCCAACCAGCCAAGCGCAGAGCATGCACAGGCTCCTGCCAGTGCCAGGGCACCCAGGGCAGCTTCCCATGGCCCCGTGCCCCAGCGCAGCAGCATGCATCCCAGGCAGTGCTGTCAGTGACGCGCCCCTGTTTGGCCAAGGCGTTCCCCGTGACGCCCAGACAGCAATGCTGTTTCCTTCTGGGCAGGTGTGTGGCACCCGTGGCATGCAGGCTGCACTTACAAGCATTTCTGGGTTCTGCTCCACAGCTTTCAGGACTTTTGGTCAAAGACCAAAACACAGTGCTTTGAGCCACCATGGCTCCATTTCTGTGCACAGGTGGCTCCTGTAGCTGGCATCCTCTATCCACCATAAATGGTGATCAGGAGCAGTGCCATGGGAATGTCTGTGCATTGCTGTGTGGGATGGGAGACAAACCATGGCACAACTCCCGTCCCACCATATCCATACACTGCAAGTGTGGGAAGAGAGATGTGGGAAAAGGGTCTCTGTGTGTGGCAGGTCTCTCACTTGCCAAGGGGCTGAGAAACTTTTGCAGTAGGAAAAACTGAGTATAAAGAGATTACCCTGCCATTCACCTGAAGCAGCACCTTCCCTCCATCCTCCCCACAGCGGCTCAGAAGAGGCCCTGACTCCTTCCATCAGTGGGCAAGGTGCTGCCCACACCTCACCCTTTTCCTTTCTATGGGCACTACAGGGAGGGAGTGTTTTTTAAATACAGTACTGAGATTTGCAGAATTAGCTATGCATTTCACCGGAACAGCTGTAGCTCAACAACAATTTTCCAACTCAGACCTCTCCATTCCTCCCTTTGTGTGCCCAGACTCAAGTCCCTGAGCGGCCTCCACAGAGTGGGTACCGATGGCAGTGCTCTGTAGCACAATGGCAGCAGAGCTGCTGGCCTGCATAAAGGATCGCTCTGAGGCATGTCCCCTGGACCGCCTTGACTGCTGGCCAGCGTGTGCCCCTTTTGACCACATCAGAGCTCAGCCCGTGGCTTTGTCTCCTGTTTTTAGAGCTCCAGCAGTCCCTCCAGGCAGAGGCAGCTGTTGTGGTGCCTCTACCTTGAGGGAAGGGCAGCGGCTGCTTGAAGGAGTGAGAGCACCTCCAGGCAGGTGGCTTCTACAACCAAGAGAAATCAGCTGGTTCAGGGGTGCTCTGGGAACCAAATGCACAAATACTGAAACCAAACAGTGCTCAGTGTTGCACCTGATAAACGAGATAAAGTATTTTAAGGCACAAAGAGGCCTGCGCCACACTGCCCACCTTATGTGCCCCAGCCTCTTTGGATGGCAGGACTCAGGGTTAAGACAACCTGCAAACTTTACCCAGTTTTAATATCAGGCTGCTCCTACATAGAGAGGCAAAAGCAGTCTCACAGCTAGAAGCACAAAAAGGTCACAGTGCACCCAGCAGCCCTCTCCAGGAGCCACTGAGCGCAGCACAAGTATTTGTGCAAGAGAAGGAGATCTTACCCAGCAGGCCTGGTGTCCACTATGGCTCGGTCTACAGGAATCAAATCGCTGAGGTAGACATTAAAGTTTCCTTCTTTCCATCTACTTTTTGCTTCTTCTTGTTTGTCATCAGGGACTGAAACAGGGTGTCCAAACTGGCCAGGAGCTTGCGGGTCTCTTGGGGCAAGTGTTGCATCCATGGACAAGACCCTGTGAGTCCCCGGGCTGCTGGTGCCCATCTGTTCCTGTCCATCCTTGCCAGTGGCACGCACCTTGGGAGCTGCTCCTTGCGTTGCACCCTGTGTCCAGCTACCCAGTGCTGCAGCCCCAGTGGTGGTGTTCACAGCATGGGTGCTGTCCCCATTTTCATTAGCAAGTTGCCACTCTTTGTGTGTTTCTTGTCTCTCTGTGATGTTCCTCGCAGAGTCAGACCCCAGGCGTGAGGCTGCTGGGCTGTCCAGTTTTATCCCCTCTTTGCCAAGAAGGATGAAGTGGTTTTCGGAGGAAGTTTCTTTTTTTCCCACTTTCACTCGCTCCCGCCCAGTCAGGGCTCCCAGCTCCGCTGACCGAGGTGGCAGGCCGCCCTTCATCAGCGTGCCCGCGGGCTGCTGCCGACTCGGTTCGGTGGCATGCCCGGGCCCCCGCACCGCCGGCCCCCTGACCCCGACCCGCCGTGCAGGCTCGGAGAGCCCCGCGCCAGGCAGGTCAGGAAAATGCGGCTTGTCGGGGGAGCCTGGCTGGGACGGTGATGCCTTAAGCGACCCGGCTCTGCTCCCGGTGGGCTCCACTACGAACTCCGCCGCTGCCTTCGACGGGGGTCTGCTCGCTGCCGGTGCCGCTACGACCCCTGCATCGCCCCTCAAGTTTACAACCGACCCCGGCGGGGTGGGCCTGGTCCCTGGGGGAGCGGCGGGGTCCCCCTCGACGTGCCGCCCTCTGGTCCCGGCGACGGAGGCCGGGGGACTCGGCGTCCGGAGAGGCTCCCGGCGAGCTGCCCGGGAGCCCGGCGTCCCTACGCCCCGGCGTCGCCCGCGGCGGAGCCCAGGGAGATCGGCCTGGCTGCTGCCCGCCCACGCTTCGGGACCCCGCCACGGGCGCGCTTGCTCCTGCCCGCGGTCCGCTGCCTCCTTCAGCAGCCGCCCGCCGGCGTCGCCGAGGGAGAGGCGGAGCGCGGCCATGTCGAGGAGCAGCCAGACGACGGAGGCGGCGAAGACGAACGCCAGCGCTCGCCCGCTACCGCGGAACAGCCGCCGCAGCCCGCTCATCCCCGGAGGCCGCTCCGGGCTGGGGGCGGGCGGGCGAGCGGACGGACGGAGCACCCGGACCGGCGCACCCCGTTCCCGGAGGGAGCAGAGAGGCGGGCCGGGCCGGGGCTCCTCTCGCCCCACCCAGCCCCGGGGGCCCGCGCTGTAACTCAACACCGGAGGAGGCTCTGCCCGGCCCGGCCCGGCTCGCCTCGGAGAGGCTAGCTCCGGCCGGCCCTCACCTCCGCCGTTGCACGGGCCTCGGCGCTGCGCTACGCTCCCATTGGGGCCCATTGTGTGCCATCCGCGGGGGACATCGTGGGGGCTTATGCGGTCTGTTCTGGGGTGCGGAGCTTGCGGAGTGTCTGTGCCCGGTGGGACAGCAGGTCTCCGGCCAGGGGCAAGGCACCCGGGCCAGCCCGCGTGGCAATGCGGATGCAAACGGGGCTGCGGCTAAGTGGTCCTTGCACAGAAGTGAAGCAGTGTAAGTAGGTTACGTGGCAGCAGCCGCAGAAGTGTGGAGGTTAAGGCTGTCTGCCGAGTACGTGGATGTTTTTCCCGTACTTGCTTCTATTCCAGGGCACACGAGCCACGGCTGAACGGCGCTGGCTCAAAGAGGGAGGCAAAACCCTGCAGTCTCTCGAGCTGGGTTAAAAAGAGCCGGGGCAGCCCGGACCGCTGGCTCAGGCGGGGCTGGGGCTGCCTGCGGGGCTGGGGGGGGGGTGGGGGGATCAGGGTGGGGTGGTCATCCCCAGCAGCCCTGGAACACCCCAGGCAGCCCCAGCGCACCCGGTCGGGTTTGCGGGGCTGGTTGTGGGGTAATCCCTGGGTGCAGTGCCCCCGGTGTCCCCGGTGTCGGGATGGCAGGCCAGGAGGGGGTAACACCCGGCCAACGCCACAGCAGCTGGTTGCTCCTGCAGTGGGGCTGCGATACTCAGGAGATACTCTGCAGAGGGCGATTGTTCGTCCGCCACTGTGAGCTCCGCATGCTGGGACACTCACGCAGGACCCCCATGACTGGGTTTCACTAACTGATCAAAACCAGGGTCCGGGGGCCCTTTGCCATCCCAATGCTGCCAGGAGCTTTGCAGTGGAGACCCTGGTACCAGCAGCCATTGGCCCACTGCCCTGCCAGGGAGCCTCTATGTGCCGTGCCAGGTCCCCTCCGTTAGCAAGCCTGAGGACAATGCTGCCCAACTGGTGTGGCATCCACTGCGCCTGTGCACACGGTCAAGTTAAAGAGCTGTAAGGTCAGCTGTAGCATGTGGGCATCAGCTGTGAAGCCCCTGTATGGGCACTAAGTGAAAGAGGAAAAAGCCTGAGCTCGTCAATATTTTGCAGCTTGCTTGAACTCTGGTATTAATAAATTTAAAAGAAACGCATGGGATCCCAAATCACAGAGCAGGAGATGTTTTTGTTTTTTTGTTTTTTTTTTGTTTGTTTTTGGTGTTTTTTTTTTTTGTTTGTTTTTTTATAAAGGGATCCAACCCACTGCAGTGCATATTAATATTGAAAGGAAAAGAAATGAGTGGGGAAAAAATACATTCATACTTTAAACCCCCAGTAATTTCAAAGTCTAGCCTATGGTTATATTGTGAGATTGAAAACAAGAAAGAAATGGCAGTTCTGGTGTTTTTCCAAGGCTTTTCTTTGTAAAACAAACTCTCTTCAGACGTGGCAGGCAGTTCTGATTTCAGTAGGATTTGCGTGTATGGCTGGTGCGTGCTTAAGGACCTTCAGTAAGCTGGAGTGAAGGATAAGATTGCAAAAGGACTGTTAAAAGGGGAAACAATTGAACAGCTGTTTGGAAGTAAGGAAGCTTGGAGGCAAGATTGAACTTAAATAATACCTTTGGTTTGGAAATAAACGTTTAAGCGAACCACGGACTGTGGATTCATTCTCCACGCTGGCATTGTTTTTCCATTTCTGTAGCTTCCTTCCCTTGCCATTCCTGACCATCTCACCCAGCAGCTGGAGCACTTGGATCCCACTCCAGCGTGCCATCCTGGTGTGCCTGGTGTGGCACCAAGGGTCATGCTCTGGGCTTTGGGTGCATGTGGCCCCCCCCAAGGAGCCAGCCCAGGGGTACAGCGTGGCTCAGACGCAGCTCTGCAGGGAACCTGGCTGTGGATGAACTTTAGCCCCTCAGACCTCAGTCCCCAGGACTGCGGGAAGCATGTTCCTCTGCAGATGGGAAAGGCCAGATAGCCTTTTTTTTCTAACAGGGAAACATGTTACAGGCAGCGTCCAACCCTGCGTGGGGCAGGGAGACAGACCCTCGACATTCCTCTAAGCCTCAGCTTCACACTTAGGAGTTACGACAAAGTTGTCGCTGTTTTGGTATGGTCAGGCATTCCCTCTGCTAGCTCTGTGCTTTGGCTCTTCTCCCTGGCAAGTATAAGTGCTCCAGATAGTTGAACAGATTCCTTGACACAAGACAGCTGCTTTTGTAGGGAGGAATTAATTTAATCAAGGTTACTCCATCATTAAAATAATCCAAAGTGTCAGATGGAAAAGCAGAGAAGGAAGCTAACTTGAAGATGAAAACTCAACATTTTTTCCAGCCAGAAGTGTCTCAGAAAATGAGCTAACTCTGCAATAAGTCACTCTGTCTCCATATAATATTTTAGGAATGTAGAAAAAATACTGTCCAAAGAGAAGTCTTGAAGGACTGATCTCTTCCAGAAGCCTGGTTGGCTTGGTAAATTGTATTTCCTCTCTGGAACATAAGAGACCATGCAGAGGTGAAGACAACACTGTGGTCCGCAAAAGCAAGATTAGACATGTGGTTGCTCCTACCATCCAGAATACAAGGGGCCCTTTTGGCTGAAATAGCAGAAAATAGTGCAAAAAACTACCAAGCTCTTCTTTTTGCTACAAGGCAGGATCTTAATTACTTGGTTACTTAATTACTTCCCATTATAGAGCACAACATGGGCAGCCAGCATGGATATGGATACAGGCACTGTGTTAAGCAAATCATGTTGAAAACGACATTTGTTTAAAGAAACCTGCTCTGTGCACGGAAGGGGACAGCAGCAAAGTATCATCATAGAATCAGAGAATGGTTTGGGTTGGAAGGTTAGGTTGCTCAAAGCTCCATCCAGCCTGCCTTGAACACTCCCAGGGACGTGGCAGCTACAACCCCACAAGGTTCAAGGCCAGATTAGATGGGGCTTTGAGCAACCTGGTCTAGTGGAAGGCATCCCTGCCTGTAGCAGGGGGTGGAACTGGATGATCTTTAAGGACCTTTCCAGCCCAAACCATTCTGTGATCCTATGATTCTCTGTCTCAGGATGCTGGCATCTCAAATGCTGCAGCTGTCTGAGCAGGCTGGCTCTTTCAATCTAGTTCACATCAGATCTTTGTACGTGGTCCCAGCTACAAAGTCATGCTTTAGTTTCTGAAATATAACCATATCTACCAAATGTTAATAAACTACTAGAATAGTAGTGAATACAATTCACATTTTTCTGTTAAATCACTTCCCAGATATAAGTTGTTAATGTAATGAAGTAGTAGGTATGTGCACTATATAAACACAGATGCATCCAACAGCATGTTGGCAAGTGGCAGATAAGCCTCAAAACTTGAATTAAGACTTGGTTCTCATGTAACTGCCGGAGAGGAGAGTTTCTGTGCAAATTCCCTGTGCATTTGTTTGACATGTTACTAACTGTAACCTCCATGGTGGGATATCCTATTTTTCTTACTACGGAAATTCAGTCAGTAAAAGATTAGGAAACACTGAACTTAGAGTACCCCGGTAGTTCATCTGTACTGCCAGAGTATTGGTGATTTTCTTGAAGTCTCCACACCCAGCAATTATATGGTCAGATGAGAATGGAAACTTTGGCTTTGAAAGAAAAGTTTATGGTTGTGTTCTGCAGGAAAACCGCAAAGCCATAGATGTAGAAAACTGGGAAATACCAGGCAACTGTGTGTTGGATGCTTAAAAATCTGAAGACTAAGACACTAAAGTTTACATTTCTATTTTGAAAGGTTTCTGGATTTTTAAGATGACCTTGTTATTCTGGGTGTGGGTGATTTTCAGTGCGTGATGGCTGTGGATGTTTTTTAGGTGATGTTTGCTAGGTAGCTGTGTGAACAAAGTATGATTGAGAGCAGCCTTCCCCCAAATGGAGCTGGTTATGTAACAGAAGATTAGAATAGACATTTATGTTTATTTTTTGTTATAAATAGTGACCTAGATTCACCATGACTCTCATGAAATATGCTGCTGTTACGTGCATGGTGGCATGCGAGGGTGCGAGGATGCTGGTGAAAGTGGCTGGGGTACCCGCACACAAGGGGGAACGCGCCAGAGTACATTCGCTGGGATTGGGAATGGAAATAGCAGTGGGGCTTGGTAATTTGCATAGAGGTCATGTTTTGCCAATATGTGTCTTGTAGAAGCAGACAGCATGTAAAAAAGGATGGTTAAAACCTGACCCAGTAATGTTTTTAAATTTCAAATTATGCATAAAGTATGCATTAAATTAATTAGGGAATTCATTAAGAGGAAAAGAGTAAAGAAACTAGTTAGCAGTGTGCAACATTTAGTAATGTAAGTCATTTTCTATAATTGTTATATATAATTTGTCTCATAACATTATCCTTTGATAAATTATTGCAGCATTATATGATATATGTAGCTTATTAACAGTTTCATTAATTACTATTAGAGGAAAGACACTCTGAAATCTGGAACACATAAGAACAAATGTTGAAGCAGATGGTTGAAATTAGTGAAAAGCAATCGGTTGCTGAACCCTTTTACCTAATTACATTATTACATCAAAATAGTTAAACTAAATTTGTCAAGTTGTCGGCAAAGCACGGGGATGTTTGGAGCTGTCGCCACGGTGTGGGGATTGCTCCTGGTCCCCAACTCCTCACGGGGTGCAGGAACCTCCCGGACATCCTCCACTGGCTCCAATGCCCCTGTGCCCTGCTGGACCTCCTGGCAGATCTCAGACCTTGACCTCCTTGCCCCTCACCTGCATCCCTACTTGTCTTCCTCCTCCGTCCTCATCATGGTCCTG